ATGTTTAATAAGGATAAACATCTGTGGAAGTACCATTATTAAATAATGTAATCTTACTTTAATCTGCAGATCCTGTTGGGTTGTAATTGGTAGTTGACAAGGCATGTCCCCTGCTGCTGTCTTACTACACAGTATCTAGATTCCTGGGCTTTGGACTTTTTCATTTTAGCTACATGTATTACTGCCTCATCTAGTTTCTTGAAAAATCCTATGGGTGTGGCTGTCATTATTAACTAAGGGTCATGAAAATATGTATTACAAAAGAAGTATATGCATGGAATTCAACATTTTTTGCACCAAAATAAACTGATCTTTTAATTCAATGTACCCACAGATTTTTTGAAGTCCCCTCATGTATTTCCCAGCTCAGTCCATTGAGAGCGACTCAGAGTAATGTCCAGTAGCCAGGAGGATATCTAGCACCTGGATTTTAATTTTTAAAAAAATTCTATCTTTTAATAAAAGGAACCGGGAGAAATGCTGCTTCTAGGATAAAAAGTACAACATCTAGTTTCAGAAATTAAAGCAATTATTATTAAAAAAAAATGCTAGAGTGATGTTAGAATGACCTGGAAGCCATCTTTTTCTATTGGCTAATGCTGAGCAGGCTGGGTTACAAATCAGTAATGGTTGTAACTGATTATAATACATAATAGCAGTTATAGGTCATAACCCACCAAATTAATGAATAATATCCATACAAAATACAAAACATTCATTGAAAGCTAGATGAGAAGCAGCATGCTTATATAGTTTCAGAGGATCTCCCTGTGAAATACTTGCTAATTACAAAGGAGAAAAATAGAAGTAACTGTGCAGTGGAGAAGCCTGGCAGATGTTACTTTAGTCAGCTTATCAAAGTGAAAAAGTTGTGTTCCACTGATTGGCTGCAACGAGAGGAGCCTAGTGACTTTCCTTTGCTCATCATTCACTTCAATTTTAGATAAGTTGTTTTGAAGTATGACATATATATATACACACACACACACACACACACACACACACGTGTACAGATCGTAAATGGACACGCCAATGCTTTTCAAAAGTTGTATTCATCTGTGAAATCCAGCCATCTTCTATTGCTTTCCCCGGGTGTGTTAGCAGGGAGCTGGATCGGAAGTGGAGCAGCACCCATATGGGATGCTAGCATTGTAGGCAGCAGTTTAACCTGCTGTGCCACAGTGCTGGACCCTCTCTGCTGCCTTTTTAAGATTGCATTTTATTTGATACATGATGTTTTTCTGTGATATTTCTTGGTATTGATTTTTCTCTTGGTTGTTATTTGTTGGCCTTTCTGGATTTATGATTAATGTCTTTTGCACCAGTGAGTCTTCCTGTTATCTTTTTCTGATATTTCTTCTAGGCAGGTGTCAGACACACTCACTGTGTCATCCATACCTCTTCCCTCTCTCTTTATCATGGTTACATTTCTTTCTCTACTTGGGAAGTATCCTGAATACTCCTTTTAGGTTTAACTTTTACTTCATTGATCTTTTTGTTTTCTGTGCCCATTCTATAATTTATCCACCTAATGAATTTAAAAAATAAAACACTTGATTGTCATTTTCTTTTTTAAAGATTTTATTTATTTGAGAGAGAGGGCTTCCATCCACTGGTTCACTCCCCTATTGGCCACAACGGCAGGAGTTGCGCCAATCCGAAGCCACGAGCTGGGAGCTTCTTCCAGGTCTCCCACGCGGCTGCAGGGGCCCAAAGACTTGGGCCATTTTCTGCTTTCCCAGGCCATAGCAGAGAGCTGGATTGGAAGAGGAGCAGCCAGGACACAAACCAGCGCCCATATGGGATGCCGGTGCTTTAGGCCAGGGCTTTAACCCACTGCTCCACAGCACCAGCCCCTGTCATATGTTTTAATTGTAAACTTTCCTCTGGTTCTTTTTCATTCCTCTTTAGTAATTTACAGTTCTCTGTTCACTTTACCTTTATTTAGTGATAAGAAGAAATCAAAGTGTAGAGGTTATTGAAAGCTTGCAGGCCTAGAAAGGCGACTCTTGTTATCTGTCAGCTTTGTTCCTTCCCTTGAAAAGCTGCAACTTCCTGCCCATTATAATTTATTTGCTAGATTGGAAGAAGTTGTTGAACTAGAAGCAAATCCCTTCAACAGTCTTTGAAGAGTCTAAGCAAGCTTTAAGATTATCATTATTTATGTCCAAATGGCAAGATCACTGACCTTCTAAATTGTGTGTTTCTAAGCTGCTTAGGTTACTTTTCATTTTGTACAGATTATTCAGAAGATTTTTAAAATGCAGTGCTTTATATCTACCAGTGTCTTCGTCCACCCTTCTGTTCCTCTCGCTTCACCCTCTTGGTACATTCACCTCCTGTCCTCCTTTGTGTGCCGTCTAATCGTCGCTCTTCTGAGGCCCTGCTTGAAGCTGGGCAGAGTGAACTGCAAGGCCCCCCTAGTGAGAGAACAGGCTGCCCACTACAGCCGCAGTGGATGTCCAAGGGACCGTGAGCTGTGAGGCAGCATCTGCCTAGGAATTTGGCCTGTATTCTTTTTTATAAAATATTAAAATGTTTCACCTTTTTATTCAAAATGAAGACAGGTAAATCGTAAGTGCATAATCATGAAAGTACCACTTAAATCAGGGAACCCTATATTACCGGCCCTCCAAAATGGCCACTTGTTCTCTCTCCCAGTCTATTTTTAAGAACAGTATTTTTAAAACTTATTTATTTTAGAGACCTAGAGACAGAGATATATACACACATGAGATCCGATATGCTGTTTCACTCCTTCACTTCCAAAATGGCTGCAATGACCAGGGCTGGGCGGAGGCCAAAGCTGGGAGCCAGGAACTCCATCAAGGTTTCCCACATGAGTGGCCGGAATCCAGCCACTTTAAGCGCTCAACTGCTGCCTCTCTGGTTCTGCATTAACAGGAACCTGGAGTAAGGAGCAGAGCCAGAACTCAAGATGCAGGCACTACAGCGGGTGCTAAGCAGTTTGTTAACTACCAGACCAAACGCCTGACCCACTTTTGCAGGCTTTGTCTCCTTCCCAGTATACTAGTACTATTCCAATTTATGTACAAGGGAACTTTAAAAAGGTCATGAAAAATTGAACTAAAGGTAAGTTTGTTTTGGTACAAAAATGTTTTGGATTCCATGTGTACAGTGGTCTTCAAAAAAGTTAATAGAAAATGCATGTTATGAAAAAAAGCTATGCGTAGATTTTAAAATGTTTTTGCACCAAAATAAACTTATCTTTTAATCCAAATTTTCCATGAACCTTTTGAAATCTCTGGTTCATTTGTTTCCGAACTTCATAAAATGGAGTCATGTAGTCTGTTCTCAAATGTATCTGCTTTTGTTGGCAAACTTTGTGAGTTTCATTAGTGTTGTTTTATCAACTGTGATTAATTTATATTCATCACTGCGTATCAGGCAAAACTGCAACCTGTGGACTGGCTGTATGATTTTGTAAATAAAGTTTTACTGGACGACAGCCAAACCCATGTTCCCTGTGTCTGTGTTTGGATTCCAAAGGCAGGGCTGAAGAGATGTGACAGAATTAGGGACCTTACGGCCAACAAAGCCTGAAATATTTACTGTCTGGCTTTTCACAGAAAACATTTCTTGATTACAATGTGTGACTCTCCCACAGTTCAGCAGGCTTTGGCCACTATACCACACATTTTTTGACTGTAGGCGTCTTAGGTACCCATGTATGTGTTTTCCTAGAGGGATTCACTGGAGTGGCATTGCTGGGTCACAGGGTGTATTAATATTTGCCTCTGGCAGATACTGTCTGTTCTCCAGTTTACACTCCCAGTAGCAGTGTTCGAAAGTTGAATTGCTGCGTATTCTAAGATTTGGTATATCCAGGTTCTAAAATTTTAGACATTTTGATCAATATGTCATTTTGTCTCATTTTAGTGTTGTTTGTATTTCCATGGTGATGAATGAGGTTGAGCACATTTTCATTCATTTACTGCCATTTTGGTCTCCTATTTGGATAGTCTTTTTCTGACTGTTTGGTAGTTCTTTGTACATTCTCAGGGCATTCTTTGATGATATATGTATTGCAAATATTTGTCTATTGTGAACTTTCTACCCTTGTTCTTCTATTTAATGGTTGTTTAAAAAATTGTTTTGTAAAATTTATATGAACCATGACTAATGCAACAGCGTGGCTGAATGTCACATACATTGAGCATGGCCTTTGTGAATACATGATAGCTACCCCAGCCTTGTCAAGGCTCATGCCCACTGGAAACCCCATGGCCTTGCAGCTTACTTAGCTTGTTTCTGTGTTTTTCTGTCTGTTGAATCGAGAATATGATTGATTTGCTGGATTCGTATTCGTCCTGGGGTCTGGACAAGGACAGCGTTCTTATCTTTCACTGGTGAATATTAAAAACACTTCCAAGACTTAAAAGTCTTCAGTTTTATGGGAGTCTTCATTCAGTATTTCATGGTATGCTACATAGTCAGTTTATTAAGATGATGCAGTATCAATTATTTGGATCAGATCTGAGTTTTTTTTATTCCTGATGAGAACTGTTTTTTTCTGAGAATCTTAGAGGTTTAGAAGTTGGAGCTGACTTTCCTAGCTTTAGATTGCACTGGGTTGGGTCAGTTGTATGTGGTAATGTGTATACTACATGATTTGTGAAGTTCTTTAATATTTTTTTCTTCCCTTTTTTGTTGGAGTTTTATAAATAGTAGCCCAGGACAGAACTTCTTGATTAAAACATATTCATTTATTTTAGTTTTTTGAGGTTCAGATCTATAATAGGTGCTGGCGATCTGAACTGAGAAATATTTGGAGATACTCTAAACCTGGAGAAATTTTCTCTGAAGTCTAATTGAAGTGCAGCTGTTTAATTGAAAGGCAGGTTTGCCTCTTTCAAAGCAAAGATAAAGAGTTTTGCCAATGATATGCAACTGCATTGTTTTAGTGAGTTTTTATGGCAACTGCATTGTTTTAGTGAGTTTTTATATGTACTTTAACATCTGTGGTTTTTTTTTTCCAGGATAAACACTATTAGGGTGGATGATGCTGTTGTCTACGTATCTGTGGCCATGGCACAAGAACATAGTAAGTACTATGCCATACTTCCTCCATAAAGCATTAAGTTTCTGTATTTACCTTTAACATGAGAGAAATGGAAACACAGAAAAAATTTCAACTCTTCTCTCAAAAAGATCAATTTATTTGGTCACCCTTCTGAGCCTATAACTTTATGTGCTAATATATTGATAGTGATTTATCCTGTGTTTTGATACACACAGAAGTGCTCAAGCTATTCCCTATAAACAGAGTGGACATTAGGCTTGGATCCATGTCATGCAACCATCTGTTCACCACATTATGAGGTTGAGGAACGGATCAGTGCTCCAGGGTAGGCCCTGCTCAGGGACAGTTCCGTCTCCACTTTGTCTTTGGTTGGCTTGAACTGTGGCTACATCAGCTAGTGTTACCTGGCTAGAGGGATGGTGCTATTGTAGCCAGGGACATCCAATGCAGGTTTGCTCAGAGCTTCTGGCACAAGTCTCCTCATACCTAGGACAGAGGTACAGGAAGACGCTGCCTCTTTTCTGGGTGGTGGTGTGTGCTCGTGTGAGGTCTGTTGTGACTGCAGCCTGCTGGCTCTCTCTGGAGCATGAACCACACAGGGCGGAAGACAGAGTCCGGAATCACAGGGAAGCCAGCCCCGGTGCCTGCCCCTACTCCGGACATCCAAGTATTTGGGCCAGTCCATTTCCTTTTTTGTTGAAGCCAGTTTGAGTTGGAAGCCAAAACATCCTAAGTGATTCATTTAATCTCCATTTTATTTTTAGTAATCCATTAGTTTCTCCCTGGGGGATGTGGGAGTAATTGCAAAGCAAGGCAAAATAACACAGTTAAATTAAACTGGCGCAGCGTGTCGTGTTGGCTGGCGTGCTTTCTTGCAGCCGCTCTCAGGTAGTGAGTTAGCATTCAGAGACATGAGAATAAAACACACCCCTTTCAGCTTCTCTTTTTTTCTCCTGGAGGTTTGACTTTTAATTAGCTCACTTAGACTGTGAGCCCTTCAAAGGATCTTGGATTACCAACACAAAACTACCCCCTTCCTTGTCTGTGTGTGTATTTGGCAGTGCACACCTTGTGTGTATGTTTTTTTAAAGCACCCTGTACTCGCACTTATAAATCCTTGTTTGCTTTTGTCCCTCAAAATTTAAATTTCACAGATAAAGAGTAGCATAACAAATATTCATATATACCTTCCTGACCCCAACACAGTAGAGAAACGGAGTGTTTACCAATTTCACCAACCAGTTAGAAACCCAGGGTAGTCTTCCCTGAAAGCGGTTCCCTGTCTCAGCCCCCAATGAACCACTGTCCTGTGTTGGTCTTTATTGTTCCCTGTAATTGTGTTTTTACCACGCATGCATTGTATGACTTCTCTGTGCTTAAACTTCAGGTTTAAAGTACATGTTATGTGCTTTTGTTGTTGAAAATCACACTACATCCAGGATCACTGAAAGAGTCATCAAAAGATCTGTTATTAGGCTTCCTAGTGATCTGCACCAAAACGAGGTCGACTTTGGGTGGCTGAGTTTGAGTCAGCATGCCAGCGGCTTTTGTCTCATCTGCAGCTACAAAGCACTTTGCCGTGCTGCTCTGCTTGCTGCTGAGTTTTCTTTCTGAACCCCCTTCGGCATTCCTGTGCAGGCTTGGAATGTGTTGGACGCTTTCAGACCCAATGTGTCCTCCGTGAGCTTTTTACAGTGTGGTGATCGCGGTCTCACTTAAATAGTTTTAGTCCTCCTGTGGTCCGAATGCATGCTTGAGGCAAACTTAACGCGCATCTATGTCTTTTTCTCATTCTGACAGGTAGCTGTCATGCCTGCAAGGTTTCACTTCTGTGCATTCTAGATTTGTCAGTTTATTGCCTTGCTACTTGTGCTGCTGGCAGTGGGTGTAGGAGACATCTGCTCCTTTGACCTGACCATTGACCATGACTGTACCTCGAGAGCCTCTCACAAATCTTTCTTGTTCCCTCATTTCCCTTATTTTATTGCAAGGCAACATTGGATCATATCGATTACTTTGTACCACTCTGGTCTAAAGTGGATCTTAAGTTATTGAACTTCATTCAAAAAGCTCATTCTTTGACTGTTGGAGGATTCTTGTTACACTTTGTTCTTGTTTGGAATATGGCCTCTGTGAAGCTGAACAGTCAGTTCCATTCACAAACCATGCATCCTCTCCGCTTCAGAACCTGATTACTGGAACAGTGTCAGAGAAAGATTTATGAAAATCAAAAGAAAATCTCTGTGGTGTGTGTGTGTATCATTTTTATTTAAATGTTGAACTTTTTAAAAAAGAACAAGCTCAAAGTATTTTTCTCCTCAGTTCATACATTTATTCATGTTACAGAAGAAAAACTATAACATCTTTTGTTGAAATTGCATTTTAGGTTTTTGTGCTTTTTATTGTTAAAAGAGTGAGTTCTTCTTTTACTTATATTTAAATGTAACTGTCTTTTTTTTTTTTTTATTTTTTTGACAGGCAGAGGGGACAGTGAGAGAGAGAGAGACAGAGAGAAAGGTCTTTGCCGTTGGTTCACTCTCCAGTGGCCGCCGCAGCCGGCGCGCTGTGGCTGGCGCACCGCGCTGATCTGATGGCAGGAGCCAGGTGTTTCTCCTGGTCTCCCATGGGGTGCAGGGCCCAAGGACATGGGCCATCCTCCACTGCACTCCCTGGCCACAGCAGAGAGCTGGCCTGGAAGAGGGGCAACCAGGACAGAATCCGGCGCCCCGACCGGGACTAGAACCCGGTGTGCCTGCCAGCACCACAAGGCGGAGGATTAGCCTAGTGAGCCGCGGCGCCGGCCTAAATGTAACTGTCTTGAGCTTCCCCGACCCCATTGTGGACCTGGGATCTGAAATCACAGTGTTGCTGGTGTGAGAACATTTTAGCCATCACATGGAGATACCCAATATGTGGGATTCCAGAGTACAACCTGTCTCCCACCTCCCTACGGGCTGTGATCAAGATGTGCTATTTCAGAGGTCCAACCAAATAAAAGCACAAAAATGCAAGATAGGATATCTAGGTTATAATCCTCCAATATGTTTTTGTCTTTTTTTTTTTTTTTTTAAGAGAGTAGGGGCTCTTGAAAAATTTCTTTGAAAAATCAGTTCAGTGAACCAACATCACTCTATTTTGTGTTCTTCTGGAATGGTGCCTTTCTCCTTTTTTAAATCTTTATAAAGGTACTTGTAGACTTCGGCTGTTTTTGTACCTCAGAATGAAATGGTGTGCTTGTGGGCGTGGCCCAGGGCCAGGGGAGCCTCTGGCAGTGGCTCGGCTCTGTAATTAGGTCTTGCTCTCCGCCCCCGGTGGACGTGGAAGCACCGGCTGTAGACCATTTAGTCTGGGAAGGCAGCACATGAATCATCTAAATTGGCACAAATTATCTGGAATGCTTCTCGGTGGTTTCTGCTGCTTATTGTGTGATTGAGGGAATTAGAAAAGGAAGCTTGTTCTTGGAATTTGACAGTATTATAGAGTCAGTGCACACTGGTGAAAGCAGATAGACTGGTTCCCTAGATAGAGTGAAAAGCCGTGGGATAGTTGATGTTTTGTAAGCAGGTGTGATTTCATGGGTCTCTTTTAGAAAAGTTCGTCCACGTTCTAGCCGTGTCCTCTCTGTGGAAGGTAGGGAGGAGCTGTTGCCTGTCTTCCAGCTCCTGTCCTTTGACCTCTGGCACTCTTGAGGGAAATGAAGGGCTGTGTGGCTGCCTGGAGCCTTCCTAACCCCACAGCACGAGGGAGGCAGGAGGAAGCCCTACAGCTTGTAATGCCCCATTTGTCTGCATCTCTCTTGCGTATTATTTATTGGTGAGGTAGAGTTACAGAGAAAGGGAAAGACAGAAAGGAAGGTCTTCCATCCACTGGTTCACTCCCCAAATGGCTGTAACAGCTGGAGCTGGGCCATCCTGAAACTAGGAGCCAGGAACTTCTTCCATGTCTCCCAGGGGCCCAAGAACTTTGCACTGCTTGCCTAGGCCATAAGCAGAGAGCTGGATCAGAAGAGGAGCAGCCAAGACACAAACTGGCACCCATGTGGGATGCTGGCACCTCAGGCGGAGGCTCAGCACAGGCCCTGTCCATATCTCTGTTTAAAATGGAAATTTGGTCTCTTTGTCTTCCCTGTTTGAAAATAATGGGTTCCTAGACTTGGCATGGCTTGTTCAAGGTGCCTGGGAGTAAAGTGGTCAAAGTCATCTTTTGTGTTCACTGAATGATAAATCGACAGTGTTTCATTTTATTTTAAAAGATTTTCTTTGTTTCAGTTTACTGTGTAATAAACCTTTAAAATAATAACATTCATTTCAAAGTTGAAGATACTTGTAAATCACTACTCAGGGAAATAAAATGAAGACTTTTCCTAAATAGAGTAAATCTTATTTTTTTTTTCTCTTGTTTTCTCTGGAGGTGGTTTTAAGGGTCATTTCCAGCATGTATTTAGAGGAGGGCTTACTATGTCTGCTCTGAAGAGAAAAGGCTGAGGAGATTTATCCATTTATCCATTCAGTAGCTAGAAGACCACACTTTTCACTTGTAATGTGAGTTGACTTTTGGGGATGTGGCTGTATCTATATTGTGGGCATCTCCGAGAAGAGTGGCTTCTGGCAGTGAGCAGAAGGAAGCCACAGCTTGCTGTGCACCTCACTGTTTCCTTAGCTGGACTTGACTGCTTCGTGGCACATTTGCCTGTGCATGTGAATTAGGTTTTCTTTGTTAGTCCAGGGCGGTACTGTTGGTTAGACCTTGTTGTGTTCACTTTGGAGTTCTTGTAAATCGTGTGTTCGAATGATAAAATTATTGTTAGCACACCTGCTGAGTGATTTTGCAGTGAGTTCTAAGATGCTGATTGCAGAAGTAGTTCTTGTCAGTGACTACCCTTCATGTAATTCCTGACTCGATGGGAATGTAAGATCTTTCCTCTAACATAAAATACCAAGGGTTTTAGGTTGTGTTCATAAAAAAGGCCTGCTGGCTAAGAACTGTGACCTTAATGTCCTAAAGACTTGTTCAGTACCCAA